AAAGATTTCTTTACGAGATCAGATATGTTCATTAAACCACAAAAATATTCTATACAATAATATCCATTACCTATCTCTTAAAAAACTAATATTGCTCGTAAAAAAAAATTCAAAGTTCATTATTGCTGGTTTGCTTTTAATTTTGGTAAAATAAAAATATGTCATTTGCAACATTGAGCTGTTCATAATTAGTAAAACTATTATTTTTATTTACAAAATCATTATTTACAATTTTTACATAATCATATTTTAATTTATGCAAATTAGATACATTTACTTTAGATTCAATGTTTGTTGATTGCTTTACGTTTCCACTAAAGTGTTTATCTTTCTTATTATATCTTTTTTTTTTCACCAACACTATGACAATTATTTAAACTAAATGATAGAATGCGCTTAAGCCTTAAAGCTTTTAAGATAAGATTTTTTTTTATTCAAGCGTAAGTTTTTGGGGATTTTTATTTTTTTTGTATTCTTTTTATTTCTTGTTCCACTTATTTTTTATTTCTAAATGTTATTTCTTTCTCTTTTATTGCTTTATCTTACTTGCTTTTTAATTATTTTTCTACTTTTAAAATTATAGTATTGTACTAAAACAATTTTTTCGATTCAATCCCAATGAATTTTTAAGTCAAATTTAACATTAAGAAACTTAAAAACTCTGTTAAGACCGAAAGTACCATCATTGAAATAAAGTATAGCAGAATTAACACCCAATTCAAGCAAAAATCTTCAAAGAATTTTTTTTTTTGGACATCAAGACTAGATTGTATTATTGGGTCGTTTATTACAATTTTGTGTCTCTCAATAAATGCATTTTTTAAGAAGTGAATCATCAGAGATGTTACATGAAATGCTATTTATTGTTAACTTATAAATAACTTGGCATGAGGACTTTAAGTAATCACTTGCAAACCAAGCTGATATAATAAACCATAATATGTTTAAATTTTTATGCAGTTAATCATTAAGAAAAGATAGTAAATGAAGACTTTCCAACAACAAAAAATGTTGTTATTATGGCCGTTGCTAATGACGCTTTCTTTTACTAACCAACAAACTATCCAAAATAAATTAATTTTCAAAATAAGTTAGATATAATTAGCCTTACCATAATTAAAATAGATCATTGAAGCATTATATCACTTAAATATAAAAATGTTCAATTTTTCATTAAAATATATATATTTTTTTGTGGCTATCTACTATGAAGTTCACGCGTCATAAATTATTGGGCTCGAGCCGGCGTGAAATAACAAACATTATGGTTCTGAGCCAGAACTCTAACTATTGCGTCACGGCTGCTATATTTTTATTTTTCAACCGTTTTTTACTAATGAGATGTCTAATGCAAGACAATAGTAGTGTTACAAAAGTTACCATTTTGAAATGTAAAAACTTATAAAATAACAACTTTATAACATAAAGCTAAAGTGTTAAAAAAAAAAAAAAAACCCACCAATTTTACTTAACAAAAAAAATTTTAATGTTAAAATTTTGGCCCTGGATTTAGTTCTAATTCAACGCACGCCATGATTAACAAGTACAATGTGCAAATCTTTTTGAACGTAATAACTTTTCTTTTTAACTCTTTCGGCACGGCCGAAAAATAGAAACTTTTTTTGGAGTCTTGCAAAAACATAAATATCCTTCGAAGAAAAAATCCTAGGAATATAATATTGTACATTATTAAAAATCTTACAAAATTTTGATCAAATCTATTAAAAACTTTTTTTCCATAATTGTGTCAAAAATGATAATGGTGGAAAAAGAAGCAATTTATTAGTAGTTTTTAGAATTTTTTTTTATATAAGAGTTGATCAGGAAACTTATGACAAAGTCTAATATAAAACATGTATATTAAAGAACTAGCGTCTAATATATTGGCAATTAGAATTTAAAGTATTTTTGTAGATATTGTTATACATAATACTTCAAAAAAAAGCACTTTAATTTATTACTTTTAGGAAAATCTAAGCCATGCTGATTTGTAAAAGTTATTTTTTGCTGCAGTGCAGTGTAAGGCTACGTTGCACTAAGGTACATCACAGTAGGAAAAAAACATATTTTTTTTAATGTTAAGTCTTGCGCACTTTTGCTTCCAAACAACTCCTTTTTTTCCTTTACTATTACCATTAAACAATTGCTAATACCACTTACAGATGAGTCCAAACCACTTTTATTATCAAAGCAATCTTACTGATAAATCAAAACTTTATTTAGAAGAATATTACATTTTTTTTCCAAGGCCATTTCGGAAAAACTTATACACTTAATAGCTTAAATGTTGTATTTAAAACGTATAAAATTTTTTGAATAAGCGGCTGTTTCTAATTGGAAAATTATTATGTAGTAATTTTCAAAACAAATCATTCAAAAGGCTTGGTTATTTATAAAAAAAGAATGGTAGGATGTCATCGAACACCAGTGAACGAAATCCTCAAATACCGTGCCGAAAAAGTTTAACAATAAGCAAAAAATAAACAGTAAACATTACTTATTCTTTTCCATACATTTTGTGTATAAAAAAATACTAAATATTACATTACTAATGTTTAGTTAAGAAAAACATGTTTAGTATCGCATGATATGTATTAAACGTTAAAAAATAACGTACGATATCATACCTATATCATATCGTATCAAAATATATCTGTATACGATTATCTTATCATAATATATCATTATATCATTTTTAGTAATGCAATTAAATTTAATAAGATATGGCTTGTCTTATTGAACCAGATGTAAATGCAAGTAACAAATATTGCGACATAAAAAAATTCTTAATTTATTTTTTATTGACACAAGCTTTATTTATCGGTTGCAGAAAAAAAATCCCCCGAAAAAGAATCCCCCCGGAAAAAATACCCGAGAAAAAATCCCTCCGGAAAATATCCCCTTAAAAAAAAAATTCTTTTTACATAAAAATTATCAATAAAACAGTTACATTTATTAAAACACAGTTACATTTTATTAAAAGAAAACTCTCCAATTCCTAATATTCTATTTTAAAGTTTTATTTAAAATAAAAATTTAATTTTTTAACTGTAAAACATGCGCGGAGTGTTGCTATATCGACTATCTTATAGCCTGACTCACAACGGAGTGCTGCTACATCGGCTGACAAATAGCCTGACTCGCAACGGAATGAGCTACATTGATTGACAAACAGCCTGACTCGCAACGGAGGGCTGCTACATCGACTGAGGGTTTGGGTTGGGCAGGCAGTCTTTAATTAATATATATATATATATATATATATATATATATATATATATATATATATATATATATATATATATATATATATATATATATATATATATATATATATATATATATATATATATATATATATATATATATATATATATATATATATATATATATATATATATATATTCATATTGTTTTCGTCAAGTTTCGCTTAATTTCCTTTTATTTTTTTTTAATAATTTTTTCGCTTAAAATTCTTTAAAATATACCGCTAAGTTAACTACGATGGTTCGCAAAAAAGTTCACATTTTACCAGGTCGAAGTTCGTCAGGGTTAGGGTAAGGGTTTCACATTCGCTACCTTCGAGAGATACCAAATAACTTGAAATTTTGATGAAAAATAAAGTATTTTATATAAATATTTAAAATAAATAAAGAAATAAACGATAAACAAAACGAAATAAACGAAAGATAATTTTTATGTAAAAAAAATTTTTTTTTTGGGGGATGTTTTCCAGGGGTATTTTTTCTCGGGGGGATTTTTTCCGAGTGTATTTTTTCTCGGGGGATTATTTCGAAGGGATTTTTTATTAGAATCTTACTTATCTACTTTTTAATAAACACTTTAGATTTTTTAAATCTTATTATTTGGATATTAACTTACGTCACTATTTCTATTTGAGGTGTTAAACACCTTTTTCTTGAATAGCTAACATACTTTAAAAAAAACGAACTGTTTTAATTATGGCTCCATAGAAGCGCGGACAAAAAAAATAAAACCACATAGAAGTCTTGGAAAAATATCTTTTGAAAAAATCCCGTTGAAATAAAAAGTTGCAAAATAAGTCGATTAATAATTCTTTATCAGAGCTAAAAATATGTGCATGATTGATGTCATGTAACTACATGACATCAATCATGCATATTTCGGACATTTTTTTTCTTTTAATTGAATTTATAACGTTTAAACTTAAGCCTAAGTATATAAGTTAAGCCTAGGCCTAAACACAGTAGGCCTAAATATATAAGTATAAGTATATGCCTAAG